AGACTAGATCTAGAATATGGGCAAAAGAGCTTAGGCTTAAGCTGTTAATACGAAGAAAAAGACCCTGATGCATACGATGGGCGTAACCCAAGTATGTTGGGCATACGAGGTCAACCCAACCCGTTTTGGTCAAGCCTCGTGTATGCCGTGCGTACCAGCTGAGTACGTTGGGTGTACTCAGCACTGTTGACCAAGTTTGACTTTTGACTTTTTGGAACTTTGACTAGGATTTGACCAAGTTTGACCTAAGGGTATTTTGAGTTATATTTGAGATTGGTCATTATTTAATGAATAGGTGATCAGTTGAGATGATATTCGAAGCTGTGTCCTGTTTGGAGATCTTTTCAGACCGAGAGGTGAGTTTTTCTTACTGTACTTGTGGATCGAAGGCACCAATGTCGGCCCACTAGGTTATGTATCCTGGTATATAGGATGTTGCTATATTGTAGTGATTTGTTATATTTGTATCTTGGTATTTAGGATGTTGCTATGCGGTAGTGATCTGTAGATCTGTCTGTTTATCTGTTTACTGGCTATATGTTTATCTGTTGCATATGTCGACATAGTGTGGTTAAGTTGAGACTATACTGCTTTGTGTTGCCAGTCAACAAACCCGGTATGGTAAGGTTGAGGCAACGTGCCAACAAACCTGGATTGTTGGGTTGAGGCCACATGCCAACAAACCCGATATGATTGGGTTGAGGTCAAGGACCAACAAACCTTGTATGCATGCTTGTTGTATATGTTATATGTATGCATGGTGGTACTTTGGGGGAACTCATTAAGCTTCGTGCTTACAGTTGTTTGTTATGGTTTCAGGTACTTTAGATAATCGGGAAAAACAAAGGCGTGATCGTGCACATCCTTCGGATTTTATGTTATTGGTTTTTGGGATACTCTGATTTACGAACTATACTTTTGAAACAACGTTTTTGTAAACAATTATTGACTTGGGTTGTTTTGGAAAAATAAAAATTTTACTCTGATTTTTTGGGATGTTACATAATCCAATCCCATTTCACCATCAATTCAACATTCTTAATTTGTGTTTTCTAGGGTTCATGGAGCTTTTTACCCAAATCATCAAATCCATCAATTGGATGATTGGATTGAGATTAGAACCATGGAAATCACCCAAGGAAGTTTAAAAACCAAAACCCTGATTAACGAATCAAACTAATTTCGACATTAGGGTTCACCCCAAACCTTGAATTCAAAGTTTAGAGTTAGAGGATGAGAAATTATACCTAGAATGCTTTTGATTCCTCTTTCTTTTGCTTGGACATTCAAATCTCCACTTTAATCAACCCTAGAAGCTCTTGAGAATCAAAAATCACCATTAAAGAGTTTATTTCTTGCAAATCACGATTGGAAGAAGGTATGAGGAGGTGTGTGCATCTTATTTCCCCACCTTTTTCACATTTGGTCCCTCTAATTTACATCTTTTGGCCAAAACCCACTAAACCTTAATATTTTAGATTTTAATTTAAGTTTTGACATACTAATTCCTTAACCCTCACCCTCTTAACCTTCCTCATCCATTTAACCTTAGTGAGTCAACACTTAGTCAAACATACTTTTTCAAATTGATAGTTTTGGTCCCTAATTAACTTTGAAATGTTATCTTTTCGACCTTTAACTTTCTAAGATTCATATCAACTAATGATATGATTATCATTTAACGATTTAATTATGAAAATCATCATTTATTTAATTACTTAATTAGTTTAAGAACATTATCTTAAATTTTAGGATGTTACATTTACTTATTAATTAGTACATCCAAATAGCCGATTAATGATATACATTGAAAACGACATGCATCGACACTCGATAATCAATTTGATACCTAATCCAAAAAACTCATTATTGATTGTATGTGTGATTATAACTTGATCAACTATACAATGAATTTAGCTCTGATTCTTGATTCGATTATATCACATGGTGGGCCATCATAAAAAACTTAGAGGATCTCATATAATGGATACCGTAAAATATGATTTGAGAATTGATGATTAAATGGATGTCGACCCAATCGAGTAAAGTGTAAAACTCAAAATCAAAATGGAGCCGCACACTGTATGGACATTTATTGATAGTCGGTTTTAGCAGTTGTGCTCGACTCTATATTAGTTAAGGTTTTGTTCGATCATTTGTTTGTATATAATGTGGTTGATAGTTAAGATTTCAATTGTACTTTCATTGTTTATAAATATTCAACTTCAATATTGAAATTAATCTATTTTATCATATGGTTCCATATAATGGTAATGTTTTACATCAACCTTTTAATTTGGTATAAAAAATAGTTATTTTATAGTTAATGACAATGACATAAATATTCTAAAGAAATATAGTTGTTATCATTTTAACTATATAGTTATATTCTTGCGCTTTGCGCGGGTATTCCCTAGTAAATTAATGTTAGGAGTTAATAACTTTTGCAACAAATAAGGTTACTATAGTACTATGCCTTTCATATTTTTCCTTTCTTTACATACCACATGTTAGGGTCCCCATAAGAATCATAATAATGGATTCTTATATGGTAGAGTGCATGAGAATCACTTTATCAAGGGATAGTTCGACAACAAAAGCAATTTCAAGTGGTTAAAGTAATGCTCTATGTAGATGGTTCAAGATGCAAAATGCCAAAAGCATCATATTTTTGTTCGTGACAAATTGCGACAGTTTTATGTAATGTTAATTGGTCCTCATAGCCGTTATGTAATTGTCGAATCTAATTGGCCACAGAAATTCGGCTAGACATACACAGAAAGGTTTCAAATGAAATATAGCGCGGACACATGTAATGTTCGATCTCACTGTCTCGATAATTGACGAACAAATAGATGGGAATTCGATGATCATAATTGTTAACAAATAAATATAATCTACATGACTACCTGGACCTGGCAATGAGGCGGGTTTAGAGCGAATCGACCTTGATCCAAACCCTTTTAACAAATTCCAAAACCCAATCCAAACCCGCTCCATAACCCGCAGGGTTTTGAATAATCAAACCCATACCCTTATCCACCGAATAAGCAGATATCCAAACCCACCCCGTAACACGTAGGTTTTTTGAATAATCAAACACATTTTACTTAAATGATAAAATCACATTTGTTAAATAAAACAAATGTTGATTTAGAAAACACATTATGTACTCGAAGACTTTCGATTGGAATTAAAATCATTATTGTAGTTACTTCCAATTGGTTTTTGACCCTCGATTGCATTGATAGAGAATAAGTGAATAACAATTACAAACTTTCTTCCAATTGATAAATGAATTTATTGATTTATAAATGAAATTGGTGATTACATGATGAAATATAAATGAAATGATATCATGATTCTTGGGAGAAGACTGGAAGTCTAGAAGTTGAGTCCCCGAGTCCTATGTATAAATAGTTTAGTCTTTGACCTTTTCTCTTTGGACTTTCGATTGGAATTTAAAGTAAAATTTAGACAGTATAAAATATAAATGTATAATTCTAAAAAATTATATGGGGCGGATTATAAATGGAGCAGATCGTTGATGATCCATACCCGACCCTTTTAATAAAAGGGTTAGCGGGTACGGGTCGTTAACGGGTAAACAGATCAAAAACTATGCTCCAAACACGTATAATTGTTAAGGGTTTGGATCGGATCAGGATCAAAACCCGCTCCATTTCCAGGCCTAATCTCCAGCTTGACATTGAAATACATAAATAATTGCATTTTAGTCAGTCTCACAATAGTTGCTATGGGAATTGTATATTTATTAGATTTCAGAAAATAATATGAAGCAATGGTTTTCTATTTTGTAAAATTATTTTTAGTCGTACACAACGATTTTTGTTTTATACGATTGTATTGTACAATTGTATAAACCATAAGTTGTTGTGTATTGTTAAAAGTGTTGTATACCGATTATCACCCATTTTCATAGTATGTGTAATTTATATAATTAAAAGATTAACTATAAGTTGAATCCACAAATTGGTTTAAACTTTGAACTTCAAATCTTAAGTGTCAACAAAGGTTCAATTTTCTAACATTAACAAATAAAAACATGCAAGACAAAAAAAAAAAGTCATCTCATAATCTACACTCTTATGTTTACAAAATTATAACTTGAGTGGTAAATTTAGAACCAAAACTCTAAATCTACTATAATAAATAAAGATAATTTTGCCACATGTCAATATCTAATGAATTTTAATACTTGTCATTTTGTGATATTTTTTAAATAAATAATATCCACATGTCAATTTATGTTTTTTTTTCAATTTTTAAAATTAAAAACACATAATCTTATACTTATATATGTAAAGTATCAAATATAATAAATATTATGATAAATTGCAATTAATATGTTTGTTTATTCCTTATTTAAAAGTTTTATTTTAAAAAATATTTATTATTTACATTTTAATATTTTATTTTCTTTAATCAAGTAATAAACAGGTTTTACTCCTATTTATATAATCTAACACTACAAATGACGTCAATAGCGAAAAAGACATATTTGATTAATCCACTTAAGATTCTTCCAAGAGTTAGGCAAAAGTTGGGCTTCTTACGTGCGAATTGGGCCCGTCAATGCCCACTTACTTAAGTCATTTTTTTTAAAAAATATCATAAATCTTTTTGAATTGCATAGGTCGCCTTCGAGAAATTATTAAAAATGCATGCGAAATACTATTTTACAAGTTTCAATTACATTTGGCATGTGACCCTGCGAAATCCCATTTCATAGGTGACCCTTGTGATATTTTTGTAAATGTGAGAAGTATTCTTGAACGTCGATGAAAATCGCAGTCAATTTTTATCATAAATAAATTTATTTAATTTATGAAGGTTTTAAACACACAATAATCATTCAAAATACTTGTTTTTTCCAATCCTAAGCTCTAGAATTCTTTCTATATTCTCATCATACCTATCATTTTCATATGATATAACTCTCTCTTTCTCTCTTAGTATATATATATGATGCATAAACCATGTCAAATTGTCCATCACGTATTCATCTTAACAAAAGAGAGATGGAATTGCAACATGATGAGCAATCATTAGACTTGCTTAGTTCTGAAGCTCACATATGGAACCATATTTACAGCTTTATAAATTCCATGTCACTGAAATGTGCTATTCAGTTGCAAATACCTGATATCATCAATCGCCATGGTGCACCAATGTTGCTCTCCGAGTTAGTGGAAGCCCTCTCCATCAAAAACGAGAAAACCCAGTATGTCTTTCGACTTATGGGCATGCTTGTTCACTCTGGTTTCTTTGTAAAACAAAGTATATCCACAACTGAAGACAACGATGACGAGGAAACAAAAGGCTATTTGTTAGCTCCTGCTTCTCGATACCTTCTAACAGAAGAGCCACTAAGCAGTAGGTCCCTTGTGCTCGCCATGTTGGATCCCATACTGATGGATCCATGGCAATCATTATTGGGATTTTCTATGAAGAGTCGAAGCTTAAACAGTTCTTCAACGAATCAATGGCCAATGATTCAAGGCTTGTTATGAGTTTCGTTCTAAAACACTGCACAAATGCTTTTAGAACGTTGAATTCAATTGTTGATGTTGGTGGTGGTACTGGCACTGTTGCCAAAGCCATTGCCGAAGCTTTTCCTGATATAAGTTGCATCAGTTTTGATCCTCCTCATGTCGTTATGGGTTTGGTAGGAAGTAATAATTTTGAGTTATATTGGTGGAGACATGTTTGAAGCTATTCCCAAAGCGGATGCAGTTTTGCTAAAGGTATACTTTCAATTGTTTTACCTTTTCCTATTTTAAAGTAACGTCCATTTTCTTTTGGACATTTTATTTCAATCTATATGAAGACAAATCACAAAATTGCTAATAAATATTTATTGGTGGGGGTCAATGAAGACAAAATATTCCAACTGACATATTTTGTTGAAATATATTATCTATAATTCTACATTACTAGTTAGACTGAAAATTTATATATGTGCAATAATTGTATATGTTAATTAATAATTGGTGATTTTGGTTTATGAAAAAACAGTGGATATTGCATGACTGGAGTGATGAAGAATGCATAAAGATATTGATGCGATGCAAAGAGGCAATCCCGAGTAAGGAAAATGGAGGAAAACTAATCATCATAGACATGGTGGTGAAGACTCACAAAGAGGACAACAATTTACTCATGACTCAACTCTATTTTGACATGCTTATGATGACTGTTCTGACAGGAAAAGAGAGGAGCGAAAAAGAATGGGCAAAGCTCTTACTTGATGCCGACTTTAGAGACTATAAAATAACTCCAATTTTGGGGTTAAGATCTCTTATTGAAGTTTATCCCTAGTTAGGTTACATTATTTTCTATACAACTTAAGTGCTGGTGAAGCTACTACAATATGGAACTTGTTTGTATGTTGTTTGTTGTTTCTTTGTATAAGTGTTATCCTTCAACATGTTTCATTTTATAAATATTCAGAATATATTGTAAGTCGTAACAGCCTTAAGACAGATATAGCGAACGAATTTGAGATGCCGATCCATTCTCATCTGACTTGACACAATCCCAGGCCTAAGCAACGACAAACAACGTAAAAATGTTTAAAACCGAGGGGATATACAAAAAAAAATCACAACAGTACTTTCGTATACTTATTTTTTTTAATTATAGCATAGTAATAGAAAAAAACGATAGTAGAAAGTTATAAAAAGCCCATGAAAATTACCTTAAAACCATTATCTATTGTCAAAGAGAAGGAAGCAGTTATAGATGCTATAGTATGCCCCCGATCCCAAAGGACAACATAAAACAAATGCATGAACTTATAAAAACGCTTTCTTGGATGAAGCGATGTATCATAAAGAAGTCACAATCTGTAAACAACATTACATAAAAAAGACTAAACCAAAGAAATAAATATATAATGAGTAATTAAATTTCAATCTTTGAATTAGCAGCAATAAAAATCAACTTCTAAGCCTTTTCAATCGAGTTTCTTGATTGAGTCCTCTTTGAAAATGACCAATTCCATTTGAACCCACATGAAGTGGCATGTAAAAAATCAACCTCAATGCTAACTTTTCTCAAAGATTTGAATCCAGATAAATAAGACTCCCAAACTAATTAGCTACTTTGTGGATTTTAGCTATTCTCACTTTTTGTAACGCCCGTGTTTCTAAGCTAAACATTATTATAATGATGTAATAGTTAGGGTCAACAATTGTAACCTATTTTGAAGTAATGAAGATGAATTATTTGGGTATTATGTGATTTATGTGCAATATACGTGATTATAACGATATAATAAAATAATAATAAAAGTATGTGTCAAAAATATAACGTAGATTTGACCTAATATCTTTAAAGAAAGCTGGAGTAGTCGTAACAAGGATTTTGGGGATATAAGGAACGCTGAAATCCGACTTATAACGAAGAAATTATGACCCGTTAAAGTTTTACGACAAAAAATGAATAGATATAGTAACTCCACTAAATTACAATTTACACATTTTAAAAAATGCCCAAAAAATGGTTAGATTACTCAATTTCCCGAGTATTTATTTGTCTGAATTTTTATGTAAATAATGGATACATATACTAACTCCACTAGATTACAATTTACACATTTTATCTTTTTGTCATGTGGTAGCTTTGTGTTGGAAAAGCTACTTAGAAATTTGCCAAAATAAAGTTATTTTTGTAAAAAAAAATTGATATTTTTTACAAAACTCTTGCGATATATGATGTGGGGATTAGTGAACAAATAATTATGTAAATTTCTTAATTATCTTTTTTATGGAATTGATGATATACTAAAATAGATATGTTAAAAGTGTTATTTGATGTTATTTTCTAATTTTAGGTATTTTTGTGATGAGGTCAAATAAAAATTACCAAAATAAACCATAGCCTCTACTATACTATCACGACAACAACTATTTGATATTATCAACAAATACTTTAATTATTAAAAATGTACATTAAATCACTTTTAATATATAAAATATTGCTATAATTAGCAACTAATGTAATAGTTATTTAAACAATTAACTAAAATAAGGAAAGAAAAAATTAATTTTTTTAATAAAAATGTTTGGACCAATAGAATCATAGATGACATGACCTTACGAAATTAAAATTTTATAACTTTCAAATGCCACACCGATGTGGCTTCATGAAATGCTGACACGGCAACATCTGATTGGTTAGAGTGATGTATACCCCCAAACAGAGCAAGTCAAAGTCAACTCTAGTCATCGTCTTCTTTTCTTCTCTAATCTTCAAAGAAACCCTAACACCTCACTAGATCTACCAATGGCGATTTTTCCGAGATCAGCTCCGACCCTCTTCCTGTTACTAACAACAACACTTCTCTCACTATCCACAACCCTTTTTTTCACCGGCGCCGCCAACGCCAACGCCGATGCAGATCTAGTCTCCGAACTTCAATCCATCCAATCCCGCTCCTCCTCCGGCGTTGTCCACCTCTCTGACAACCTTCTCCGCCGTATCATTACCACGAAACCACGATCTTTCTCCTTAATCATCTTCTTCGACGCCATCCAACTCCATGATAAATCCGAACTCCACCTCAAATCACTCAAATCCGAATTCTTCCTCCTCTCTAAATCCTTCGGCATCAACAATGAGAATTCCCCATCAGTACTTTCCAAGCTCTTCTTCTGCGACATCGAATTCGGCGAATCGCAATCATCTTTCGCCCAATTCGGTGTTAACGCCTTGCCACACATCCGCCTCCTTCCACCAGATGCGACCACCTTAAAAACCGACTCGATCTCCATGGACGCCGGTGATTTCTCCCGTTTAGCCGAATCCATGGCGGAATTTATCGAATCGAGAACTAAACTCAAAATGGGTCAAATCCACCGTCCCCCAATTCTCTCTAAAACTCAAATAGGGTTCTTAATCGCTGCATTCCTGATATCCTTGCCATTCCTGTTCAAAAGACTATTAGCCGGTGAAACACTTCTACACGATAAGAGGGTTTGGCTATCCGGTTCTGTGTTCATTTACTTCTTTAGCGTTTCGGGAACTATGCACAACATAATTCGCAAAATGCCGATGTTCATATCCGATAGAAATGATCCAAGCAAGCTCGTCTTCTTCTACCAGGGATCTGGAATGCAGTTGGGTGCTGAGGGTTTTGCTATCGGGTTTCTTTACACCATTGTTGGCTTGTTGTTGGCTTTTATGACTCATGTTTTGGTTAGGGTGCAGAGTAGGATTGCACAGAGGACGATAATGATCATTGCCATGATTATTTCAGTATGGGCTGTGAGGAAAGTTGTGTATTTGGATAATTGGAAGACTGGTTATGCTGTTCATGCTTATTTGCCTTCCAGTTGGTGAAGCAATGATACTGGTTTGTTCTACTTTTTTTGAATTTTATCTAATAGCCATGGCTGAATATGCTTCACTATGCTTTTATACATGTTATTCCTTCAAAACCTTAGGTTTAAAGAACTATTGTTACTCTTAATAGTCTCCTGTTTTTCATTTCCAGAATCGATTACTTCTAGAATTATGTGATTGACTCACTTCACATGCCGCTTTTTTCACATTCTTAATTTTGCCCACTCTTGATGATTCGATTATATGGTTTCTGTTTCTGTTTATACTAACAATCAACTGTTTCATATTTTCAATAGAATTGTATCAATTAGACACCAGTTTCCTCTTTTAAATGACTTGAGTCATATCACTTGCTTGTTAGTTTTCTATCCTTAAGATGGTTGTTATCTTTACATTATAAGTAATGTATGCTTTTCAAAATATCTATTTTAGCTCAATATCATAGTTGAAGTTGATAGATGAATTCCACCTTCAAGTTTCAATATCTCACTTTCAAGATATTATCTTGGGATTTTGATCCCCAAATGCATGTAATTCAAGCTAATGGATGGGTTAATGTGTGTTATCTCTAGGGATATTAACTAAATTAACCCTTATGACTGTGCTTATTAAATGAAATTACTAATTTTCGGTTATTAAAAATTGACATTTTTCTCCTGAATACTACATTCCGGACTTGTTCTTAAAATTCCTGAGTTTTTTTATTTGCACAATTTTTTTCATAAAATTCTCTATTCTATTCATGTCCAAAACTTCAAATTTCCAAGTGTTTAATATCACTATTTTTCAGTTAAATGTCTGATTTTAAGCTCTTGTACAGTATAATATAATTTCTTATTTGCTATGTTGTTTTACCTTTTTGTTAGATTTTTGTAATAAACGAAGTATTTCTTCGAAATTCACGAGTATTTTTTTTTCGAAATCCGGAATATTGATCCGTAATATAAAATGTCGGTTTAAATGTATTTTTTTCTAGAAAAAAATACATTTGTGGTGTTCGGATTTGTTGGTCACTTAAAAAATATATATTTTTAGATTATTTTCTTTTATATTAACATCGTTCAAGATGATTAAAAGTAGGGGGTGAGCACGGAAAGCGGGTACCCTTTTTTGGACCCGAACCGAGGTCACTGGTTCTGGTTCTTGTTCTGGTTCGTAAAAGAGGGAGCCGTCAAGGACCGGTTTCGGTTCCATTTCCATTTTTAGGAACTATTATCCTTCGGGTAACTGCCGTTACCCGAAACTGGTTCCAAAACATTAAATTTAAAAATACTTAAAATTTAAACGAATTGGTTATAACAACGTTGATGACTAAGACATTTGTTGGGACTATCTAAATTAGATCTTGGAGGTAACATACTAATAAATCGTATTTGCAACGTTTTGCTTAAAACATATGATGTGAATGTGAATGTGAATGCATGAATGTAAAAAAAATTTGAACATATATGAAGGAAATATTTGATGTTAAATAACATTAACAAGTTGATGGTAAGGACATGAACTTTGGTTTATGACTTATACTAGGTTATAACCAAGGTTGTAGAACTCGTTACTCGGTACCTGCTCGGCCGATTACCGAGTAGCGAGTACTCGGGGAGTACTCGGATTTGGTAATTCATGTAGAAATATTTTTAGGGAAATTATATATGTCAAAATCATAAGTTAAAATCATAAGTTGGTTGAAATATATAACAAAATTAGATACATGTGAACACACAAAAATTGAAAAACACATAATGGTCTCACTTCGTGAATAATTATACACATGTGTGTGTGTTAAATAATTACTGAAATTTTAAGATATATATGTAGTAATAATCACATGTGTGTGTTAAATAATAGCTTATTAAGTATATTATACATATTAATCACCGAGTTGATCGAGTTTTACAACACTGCTCAGGTCAGTAAGGGCCCGATCGTGGAGTACTCAGGATTTTGTAACTCGCCTCGGTAAGGGGGCGAGTAGCGAGTACTCAGAGGAGCAATCGGCCAACTCGGCGAGTATTTTACAACACTGGTTATAACCCATGGAAATCACGTTCAGTATATTTAAAATTATTATATAGATTAAAAAAAAGAAATACAAAAAAAAATCAACGTATTGTCGATTGTATCTAAATTAATTTGTTAAGTAAAATAAACATAATACTTTACCATATGTTTTCAAAATGTTATTAGGATAGGAGTTTGTATTTTCAAATTTTGAATTGAAATTGATTTATTACTAAAAGGAAATAGTATAAGTGTCACATGTCAAAAAGACATGCTAGAAGATTAGCATGTGACATTTTTCGATTTCCTTTATTAGGATAGATCTTTTGTATATTTTAAGAGTATATTATAGTTGCAAAAACAAATATTTTGCAAGTTGTTAAAAGACGTTCAAATTTTATTACACACAATATAAATATACAACGAACAAAATAGAAAGATCATATATATTTTTTTCATGTTTTTGATTTTTTACCCCAATATTGAAGTTTAGGTTTGTTGTTATTAGAATCCTAAGCTTAATTAAGCTGCAAACATACACACAACTCATTATTTTGATGTGGACCAAATTTGGAGTCCAACAAACACAGAACATAACTTAAGAACACATGAAACACAAGATCCTTGAAAGAGCACCAAGGAAGGCCCAAACCCCACGAATAGAATTGAACATTTTTTAGCATAGTGTGAGAATCATAAGTATAGCAGCAACAAAAAAAACCACCAGGAAAATTAAGATCAATCCAATTAGAATGTGGCAAACTTTGGGCTTTTGAAAGGGAACATAACTATAAAAAAAAAATAAAAAAAAAATAAAAAAAAAGGATCAGTAGAGTATTCACATCATTCAATCGAGATGGATGAGATCAAACTCCAAACTTTTATCAAACCAATCTTGAGAGCATCCACCAGCAAGGACCAAAAGCAAACCATTTAGAGAGCAATGGACTTTAGACTTCCACAGGACACATGACAACAACAAACAACCATCTTGATAGACGAAATCAAAAGCCAAAAAAAAAAAAAAAAAAAAAAAAAAAAAAAAAACAGCCAAGCTTGAGAGCAGGACCAAAAGAACTATTTTACAGGATTAACAAACGAGTATTTCTCAAAAAATTATATTCAAAATATTTGTGACATTTTTTTACATCTAGATGTTCCATCTTTTTATTGACATGGCATAAGAGGTTGACAAATCACACATACTTATATAGCCATTCTATACTACTCATTTAATCGCGTCACATCTCTATTCTATGTGACTTTTCACAATTGGTATATGGTTTTCCTCATTTATCACTAATCCTGTAAAATAAAACTTGAACATTAATCCACATTCCATAATGGCTTTGGCATCAATTGTTTTGAGTATAAAACATTAAAAAGATCATGGAATATGTGCCCGCTTTATCTCTTAGCTATTGCACAATCCCTGGTTTTCGATGAAAGAAATATCAAAGCAAGCATGGGATTGTTTAAACATATTTTCAATGATCATAATTAGTTTTGAGTCGAATCAATTCACAAATAGCTTTGGTAACCAGCCCTTAGGATCCATCTACAAAATAATTACAATAGATTTATAAGATAGACCAATTATAATCAATACTTTAAAGTCTAAGTTTGATAGTCATTCTATACTATGAAAAACAAATGTAATGATAGCTATAAGGTAGAAAAATACTCGGCCAAAGTTTGATTTTATAGATTTATCAAAGAGTTTCGAATCTATCTAATGACAAACGATGAAATTCATTTTTATTGATTTGTTGTAAACTATATTTTGTTTTATATACAAAATCCAGACAAACCTCAAATCTTTTACAGATGAACGATTAGAGACATGGAAAAAGCAATTTCCAACATTAGAAACATCAGTCACCACGAGTTGGTCTTAAATTGTGAATCATGAGCTGCTTTCTATAAAAGCACCTGCAAAACAATAGAATAATTTTTCCTTAAATCCCATATTTTATAAAAAAAAAAAAAAAAAAGTAAACTTCAACGATTAAATGCATCATTTAACATAAAAATAGGGAAAATTATGGGAAATAACATTATAGCAATACTGCAATATACTCTGCCCTTTTTTAGAATACATCCATGGCCAAGAGGCCCAAAATAATCAAGATTTTTAACGATCGAGAATATAAACTTCTTTTTGGATACAAGTGGTTGAAATCAACTTTAGACTTTAAAGTCTTGTTTAGAATTTAAATTACTCAAGAAAATGACACCTAAAAAGCTTTGCCTTTATGTTTTGGATTTAATTATCAGAACTCCAAACTATGGAACTCAAAAGGTATGTACTTTCATTTTGGTTGATGCATTCTGTAAGTAGATGCATAATCTAGTTATGAAGACCTAATGACCCTACATTCAACTTCACATCATCAAGAAAAGGTGTAGTTTCAATACTTACAATTATATGCAACGGGTTCCATTACCAATCAGTTTTCAATTGGAAAAGTAATGGTCTGGCCTTAAAATCAAAATGCCCATATTTTTTTTCTGCAACATTAAGCGATAGAGCACCAGAATGGCTCAAAACAAAACCAGTGGGAAATTGAACACACTAAATTCATATACGTGAGGTAATATAATATCAATCGCAGTGTAACGGAAAAATTATAAATAGAAAGAAATACATATCGAATGAATATTGTTTGTACCTTCTTAAACCTCTTTTCCTGCAGCACGTTCCCCCTCCATCTCCATTAATCTGAAGCAGAATATCAAAAACCCTAGGTTATTCTCATATAATTAACATTTATATCTCCATCAATCGTGTGTGCTCTCTCCAACTCTATCTCTCTCGATCGGAAATCAAACAACTTAAACTATGCCGAATCCGCAAAATCAAATCGAACATTCCTTGTCAAAAATCAAACACGAAAATGGTTAATAGTACAAAAATTAAAGAAAGTATTTACCGAATAAAAAAATGTTACAGATGAAGAATTACCTCTCATTTGATATGAAAAAGATGCATTAAAAAA